TTCAAAGGGGCCTGAGCAAGCGGGAGGTGTCACGATGAGCTGCCAATGGGCTGACATCTAGTTCCACAGGGGAGTACTTTATCCGCTGTGTAACATCAGGAAATCGGTGTATGGCCTTTCGACTGTTAGTAGAAGGGCGGGATGTAACATATGTTAGGGTTGAATTACACCTTGTTTGCAACGTCAACAGCAGGAGGAGTCTGGTCCGGGGGCCCATGGCAGATTACGGGCCTGGCAGCAGCAATGGGAGGCCCGTAATCTCTGCCATGCACCCTATGAAAAAATGGAAACCCACCAGCTAGAATGTGGAGGAGGACCTGAAAGTGGCACATGGCGGAGTGTGGCGATGGAGACAGCGAGCAATGGGAGGCCGTACAGGGGACCCATGACACACTCTGGACCTGGCAGCAGCATGAGGAGGCGGTACAGGGGCCCATGACAGATTACGGGCCTGGCAGCAGCTGAGGAGTCGGTACGGGGGCCCATGGCAGACTTTACGGGCCTGGCAGCAGCAATGGGAGGCCCGTAATCTGCCAGCACCCTATGACAAAATGGAACACACCAGCAGTGTGAGGAGACCTGAAAGTGGCACATGGCAGAGTGTGGCGATGGAGACAGCAGCAATGGGAGGCCCGTACAGGGACCCATGAGACACCTGTGGACCTGGCAGCAGCATGAGGAGGCGGTAACGGGTTGCCCATGGCAGATTACGGGCCTGGCAGCAGCAATGGGAGGCACGTAATCTGCCAGCACCTATGACAAAATGGAACAGCACCAGCAGTGTGAGGAGACCTGAAAGTGGCACATGGCAGAGTGTGGCGATGGAGACAGCAGCAATGGGAGGCCGTACAGGGACCCATGAGACACTGTGGACCTGGCAGCAGCATGAGGAGGTGGTACGGGGGGCCCATGGCAGATTACGGGCCTGGCAGCAGCAAGGAGGCCCGTAATCTGCCAGCACCCTATGACAAAATGAACACACCAGCAGTGTGAGGAGACCTGAAAGTGGCACATGGCAGAGTGTGGCGATGGAGAACAGCAGCAATGGGAGGCTGTACAGGGACCCCATGAGACACTCTGGACCTGGCAGCAGCATGAGGAGGCGGTACGGGGCCCATGGCAGATTACGGGCCTGGCAGCAGCAATGGAAGGCCCGTAATCTGCCAGCACCCTATGACAAAATGGAACACACCAGCAGTGTGAGGAGACCTTGAAAGTGGCACATGGCAGAGTGTGGCGATGGAGACAGCAGCAATGGAGGCCGTACAGGGACCCATGAGAGACTCTCTGGTACCTGGCAAGCAGCATGAGGAGGCGGTACGGGGGCCCATAGCAGATTACGGGCCTGGCAGCAGCAATGGGAGGGCCCGTAATCTGCCAGCACTCTATGACAAAATGGAACACACCAGCAGTGTGAGGAGACCTGAAAGTGGCACATGGCAGAGTGTGGCGATGGAGACAGCAGCAATGGGAGGCCGTACAGGGACCCATGAGAGACTCTGGACCTGGCAGCAGCATGAGGAGGCAGTACGGGGGCCCATGGCAGATTACGGGCCTGGCAGCAGCAATGGGAGGCCCGTAATCTGCCAGCACCCTATGACAAAATGGACAGCACCAGCAGTGTGAGGAGACCTGAAAGTGGCACATGGCAGAGTGTGGCGATGGAGACCGCAGCAATGGGAGGCCGTACAGGGACCCATGAGAGACTCTGGACCTGGCAGCAGCATGAGGAGGCAGTACGGGGGCCCATGGCAGATTACGGGCCTGGCAGCAGCAATGGGAGGCCCGTAATCTGCCAGCACCCTATGACAAAATGGACAGCACCAGCAGTGTGAGGAGACCTGAAAGTGGCACATGGCAGAGTGTGGCGATGGAGACAGCAGCAATGGGAGGCCGTACAGGGACCCATGAGACACTCTGGACCTGGCAGCAGCATGAGGAGGAGGCGGTACAGGGGGCCCATGGCACATTATGGGCCTGGCAGCAGCAATGGGAGGCCCGTAATCTGCCAGCACCCTATGACAAAATGGAACACACCAGCAGTGTGAGGAGACCTGAAAGTGGCACATGGCAGAGTGTGGCGATGGAAACAGCAGCATGGGAGGCCGTACAGGGACCCATGAGACACTCTGGACCTGGCAGCAGCATGAGGAGGCAGGCAGAACCGCCGTATCTTTATCACGGTTTTCCCAGGCCACCAAATGGCGACGCTGCATATGCTGACGCAACGCTGTAGTCCCAACATGGGCCCCCTGGCCACGCTTGACTTTCTGGCCACATAGTCGACATACGGCTACGATTACTTCCTCGTGGCGGCTTGACAAAAAATTGCCACACTGCCGAGTAGGAAACTTTGCCCCCGCTACTCCTCACTGGCTGACTGCTACTTCCTCCGTGCACACCGGCACCACTACTGGCCGTGGTGGTAGGCTGCAGTGGAGCTGGTGCTGTACTCTGTGGCCGTTTGCCTCCACTGACACTGCTGCGACCCTGCTGCCTCCTGGGCAACCCACCGACTGTTTTGCTCGCTGCCAAGCTGGCACCCTCTTCTCCTGATGATGCGGAAGCAATAGCCTGATGACGACGAGGCTGCCAAGTGCGATCAGCCTCATCATCATCAATTAGGGTCTCCGCCTCACTACTAGCCCCCTCGGCTCGGCTGCGTGTGGGTCAGGAGACGGACCTGTCTCTAGACCGGCTACCGAGCCACTCTCCTCGCCAGTACTTCTTCGCCTGGCTGCTGAAGAGGCGGATGTCTCCCCCCGTTCCTGACCGCCCTCTGTTAGCTCTTCCTCACTGTACAGTGGGGCTGAGCCCACAGCATGCGATACTTCGCTTGGTGAGGGAACACCAAAGGACAGGGGCAGGTAGAGGATACGTGATTTCAGTGGGCGCTTTGCTCCCCGGCCATGCCAACTAACGGTTGTGTCTGACGTACCCACCGACCGTTGGCTGTAGGGGTCAGAGGTGACCTGGGAAGAGGAAGACGACCGAGCCAACCAATCGATGACGGCAGGGTTGTCGGTGGAGACACGACCGCTGGATGACACCAGGAGCACTGGCCTCTGGCTGCGACTAGTGCTGCCTCGACCCCTTCCTCTGCTGCCACGTCTGCTCGCTCCTAAAACATTGCCTCCTCTGCCACTCCTCTGCGTGTTGTCTGACATACTCTTTAATTCAACGATTCTGTGTCCCTGAGTAACAATTCTGTGTCCCTCAGTAACAATTCTGTGTCTGTCCCTGAGTAACAATTCTGTGTCCCTGAGTAACAATTCTGTGTCCCTGAGTAACAATTCTGTGTCCCTGAGTAACAATTCTGTGTCCCTCAGTAACAATTCTGTGTCCCTCAGTAACAATTCTGTGTCTGTCCCTGAGTAACAATTCTGTGTCCCTGAGTAACAATTCTGTGTCCCTCAGTAACAATTCTATGTCCCTCAGTAACAATTCTGTGTCCCTCAGTAACAATTCGTGTCCCTCAGTAACAATTCTGTGTCCCTGAGTAACAATTCTGTATCCCTGAGTAACAATTCTGTGTCCCTCAGTAACAATTCTGTGTCCCTCAGTAACAATTCTGTGTCCCTCAGTAACAATTCTGTGTCCCTCAGTAACAATTCTGTGTCTGTCCCTGAGTAACAATTCTGTGTCCCTGAGTAACAATTCTGTGTCCCTGAGTAACAATTCTGTGTCCCTCAGTAACAATTTTGTGTCTGTCCCTGAGTAACAATTCTGTGTCCCTCAGTAACAATTCTGTGTCCCTCAGTAACAATTCTGTGTCTCTCAGTAACAATTCTGTGTCCCTGAGTAACAATTCTGTGTCCCTCAGTAACAATTCTGTGTCCCTCAGTAACAATTCTGTGTCTCTCAGTAACAATTCTGTGTCCCTGAGTAACAATTCTGTGTCCCTCAGTAACAATTCTGTGTCTGTCCCTGAGTAACAATTCTGTGTCCCTGAGTAACAATTCTGTGTCCCTGAGTAACAATTCTGTGTCCCTCAGTAACAATTCTGTGTCCCTTAGTAACAATTCTTTGTCTGTCCCTGAGTAACAATTCTGTGTCCCTGAGTAACAATTCTGTGTCCCTCAGTAACAATTCTGTGTCTGTCCCTGAGTAACAATTCTGTGTCCCTCAGTAACAATTCTGTGTCCCTCAGTAACAATTCTGTGTCCCTCAGTAACAATTCTGTGTCTGTCCCTGAGTAACAATTCTGTGTCCCTCAGTAACAATTCTGTGTCCCTCAGTAACAATTCTGTGTCTCTCAGTAACAATTCTGTGTCCCTGAGTAACAATTCTGTGTCCCTCAGTAACAATTCTGTGTCCCTCAGTAACAATTCTTTGTCTGTCCCTGAGTAACAATTCTGTGTCCCTCAGTAACAATTCTGTGTCTGTCCCTGAGTAACAATTCTGTGTCCCTGAGTAACAATTCTGTGTCGTCCCTGAGTAACAATTCTGTGTCCCTCAGTAACAATTCTGTGTCCCTCAGTAACAATTCTGTGTCTCTCAGTAACAATTCTGTGTCCCTCAGTAACAATTCTGTGTCCCTCAGTAACAATTCTGTGTCCCTCAGTAACAATTCTGTGTCTGTCCCTGAGTAACAATTCTGTGTCCCTCAGTATCAATTCTGTGTCTGTCTCTGAGTAACAATTCTGTGTCCCTGAGTAACAATTCTGTGTCCCTGAGTAACAATTCTGTTTCCCTGAGTAACAATTCTGTGTCCCTCAGTAACAATTCTGTGTCCCTCAGTAACAATTCTGTGTCTGTCCCTGAGTAACAATTCTGTGTCCCTGAGTAACAATTCTGTGTCCCTCAGTAACAATTCTGTGTCTGTCCCTGAGTAACAATTCTGTGTCCCTGAGTAACAATTCTGTGTCCCTGAGTAACAATTCTGTGTCCCTCAGTAACAATTCTGTGTCCCTGAGTAACAATTCTGTGTCCCTCAGTAACAATTCTGTGTCCCTCAGTAACAATTCTGTGTCTGTCCCTGAGTAACAATTCTGTGTCCCTCAGTAACAATTCTGTGTCCCTCAGTAACAATTCTGTGTCTGTCCCTGAGTAACAATTCTGTGTCCCTGAGTAACAATTCTGTGTCCCTGAGTAACAATTCTGTGTCCCTCAGTAACAATTCTGTGTCCCTTAGTAACAATTCTTTGTCTGTCCCTGAGTAACAATTCTGTGTCCCTGAGTAACAATTCTGTGTCCCTCAGTAACAATTCTGTGTCTGTCCCTGAGTAACAATTCTGTGTCCCTCAGTAACAATTCTGTGTCCCTCAGAAACAATTCTGTGTCCCTCAGTAACAATTCTGTGTCTGTCCCTGAGTAACAATTCTGTGTCCCTCAGTAACAATTCTGTGTCCCTCAGTAACAATTCTGTGTCTGTCCCTCAGTAAAAATTCTGTGTCTGTCCCTGAGTAACAATTCTGTGTCTGTCTGAGTAACAATTCTGTGTCCCTGAGTAACAATTCTGTGTCCCTCAGTAACAATTCTGTGTCCCTCAGTAACAATTCTGTGTCTGTCCCTCAGTAACAATTCTGTGTCCCTCAGTAACAATTCTGTGTCCCTCAGTAACAATTCTGTGTCCCTCAGTAACAATTCTGTGTCTGTCCCTGAGTAACAATTCTGTGTCTGTCCCTCAGTAACAATTCTGTGTCTGTCCCTGAGTAACAATTCTGTGTCCCTAAGTAACGGTTCTGTGTCCCTAAGTAACGATTGTGTGTCCCTAAGTAACGGTTCTGTGTCCCTAAGTAACGGTTCTGTGTCCCTAAGTAACGGTTCTGTGTCCCTAACTCTGTCCCTCAATACAGACAGGTGGTCTGTCTCTCTTGAATGACTGGAGGCTAATGGAGAATTCTAAAATGCCGCAATTTATAGCTCGACCATTACACAGTGCTGGCTGGCTGGCTGCTGATTGGCTAATGCGATCACATGTCATGAATGAATGCATTATGGGTCAGCGCGCCTTGTCTGCGCGCCTTCCCACAGATCCCCGCTCCGTCGCCGCACATGTCGCCGCCATTTTTGGAAAAATTTTCCTAATATTCGAAACGAATTACACTTCGCCGAGTTCGATTCGCTCATCTCTAGTCAAGATATTTGATTTTTTTTCTGCTCCTCTCGTGAACACACGGGTGAGTTTTTTTTTTTTTTCTGCTTGTAAACCTTCTTTTAATACACCTGTAAATGACTATGTGTGCATGGACACATAGGGGTTGATTTACTAAAACCGGAGAGTGCAAAATTTGTTGCAGCTGTGCATGGTAGCCAATCAGTCTAACTTCTGCTTGTTCAATTAGGCTTTGACAAAAAAGAGAAACTGGTAGCTGATTGGTTTCTATGGACAACTGCACCAGATTTTGCACTCTAGTGCTTTAGTAAATCAACCCTATAGGCTAATATGGAGGTGTGTTTACAGGCAGAAAACGTAAAATTAGTGTGTTTTTAAGTCCAGTGTGCACGAACCCTAAGGGGGAGACCTGGGTTATTTTCAGTGGCCCCTTTGGGGATAAGCACTCCCATAGATATTCACAGTACCTACAGTTTATTACCACTTTAAAAGAGCAGTATTAGCTCTATCCCCTCCATAAAATCACATGCATCAATGGTTTTACCATTTTGAGGTCATAGACTTTTTTTTTTTTTAGTGAGGGAAGTTACTAGATGTACAGATTAAGCTGCCTTTTCATTAATGGCACTGATGTGTCAAGGGAAGCAGGCTAAGGGGGCAGCACCCAACCCTTAAGTGGTTCAAAAATGCTCAATTTTTTTTTAACCTAAAATAAAAAATAATGTTATACTTACCTTTATAATATCAATGTGCAGCGCTAATAAAAATGTGTGTTATAGTCAATGATGACCAGTGTGATCATAAAAGAGAAAGGAAACATCATAAAAACGAAAAAAAAAAGAATAGTGAATACTCCAATGAAGAAATAAAATATACGGTA